TAAACAAAAATAATCCAAACTTTGGGGATGCTAAATGATTAGCCCTTTAATGGGCAGCTTAACTGCATGTTAACACACATTTTACATTGTAATTTCATGCATAGGGGATCACAAATCCAATTCCAACTCCAACATTGTTTCATTCATATCATTATTTTTCCACTGAAACTGTTTCAAAAATGCCAAAATATACAGGATTATGATTAATCACACTCTTTTGTCATTGTGTTTTTTGTTTAGGTTACCTCATGTTTTGGGGCTGTTCTCATTCATGTATTCTCTGTTTGTTTTTCTATCTAGTGGGTGCGTTATACTTGTGGTGCGTTATTTTCAGTGTCACTGCTGCTTAATACTTAAACAGGCAGCTTGATCAGCCTGTAGATGTTCATAATTTCTGATCTAAGTTGCAAATTACAATTAATTCCAAAACAAATGAAATATTTTTCAGTGTAAAACAAGTTGAAGCAATTAACCCCCAAATGTCTGTTGTAAAGGTATTTTACTGTGCTTATGTTAAAGGATTAAATTTAAGTTTTAGCTTTGTGATTGGTCACATCTTTCACTCTGGAGCTTTATCATTTTATATTAGAGCTCATTGAAGCGGAAAGGTTCATAAAAAAGGGAACAACAAAGCCTGACAAAACATCTGTTTCTGTGGTCTAAGTAATCAGTGTTTTACTGGGTACTGTTGCATGTAAAGATACATGCAATGATACAGAAGGAACAATATGTGGTGAAGCTGCTCTACCCACCTCTGAAAAACACATAGACACTATAAAACCCTTACTACAGGAACAGAACAAGTCATTTCTCAAGAATTCATCCTGTGGTTAAAACATTTATGCGGTTTTGTGCAGAACATGACCAGGTGGGTGGTGATGGTTGTTATATAGTGACGCGGTTCCTGTTTTTTTTAAGTAAGTTTTGTTTAAGTAAGTAAACACCTGGCTTATAAAAACTTTTTATATATTTTCTACACACAAACAGTTCTCTTTACCACAGTATAAAAATGTTTAAACCTTTTTGATTGATCATAATTTCTGCAAGATTTGTGCCTCTATATCTCATATTTATGCATCTCACTGATGAAAACCCGTTTGTGAACCTTTAGAACAGTGATGAATAAGACAGATTCAGGGGTCAAATACACACATTCAATTGACTAAAATTTAAAGCTGCTGAAGAATTTCTTGGGCCACCATCAGTCCACAGTCAGGCAAACAGATTACAGGTGAAATTCAGCATTGTTGCTACTTTCCCAGCAGTGCATATCAATAATAAAGAGCTCTGGAGTCCCAACTAAAGATCTCCGCAGGCTTCTCAGGTCTGTGCGAGTCACCACAGAGGAAACCGCAGTTCCATCCAAACAATTCTATATATACACCTGCACCGCTGCTCATTTCAAGTTTGCAGAACACCACCTAGGACTAACATGGAAACCTAAACCTCAAAAGAGGTTAGGCAAACAGGACACCAGACCACTCTGAAGGACTTTGTTTATATATCAGCGACAGAACTGTGCAGAAGTTTTGAAAAGTTTGCAGCTGCTACTTTTTATTTAGCATTAGGATTTAGACATCAACAAAATGTGCGCTGATTCTGCAGTGTTGATTGTCGTATAAACAAAATTGTTTACTAACTAAACAAAAGAAGAGTGAAAATATGGTTTGTAAGAGAAATAAAAATAAATGTCAAAATCTGAGATGTTTCCCTAAAGATGTCATTATTAAAGTCCTCTGCACACTTCCTCTCTCTCTCAACATCAACAACTCTTCTACACGTCTCCTCTCTAATGTCCTGCTAACACAGAAACATTTTATCTACAGCTTTTATATATTTTGAAAGCTAAATATTAATTCTGTAAATTCAGTAGTATTCATTCATTCTTCTCACCAGTAACCAAACAAGAAACAATATTTTAAGTATAAAATATCACTAAAGCAAAGCTTTCCGTCTTGGTGATTTTGTGCCCTGGTAAACCTGGAGGTCTGCAGCCTGACCCGAGCCTGACGAGGACGAGAAAATATTAGGTAAACATTTTTTCATGTACAGCGTCGAGCCCAGCTTGGACTGGTTTTAGAATGAGTGATTTTTATCTACACTGTAAAAACTAATTTGGAGTTTTAACTTAACTTAAAATAGTAAATAACCTGCCTTCATTTTTACTTTATTGTACTCCAAGTAATGAGTGAACACAATGTAACACTCATTGTTCTGTTCACTCACTATTTGATGTTCAATGAACTAAACATTGTAAAACAGGCTGTTTATTCACTTGTATAAGTTAAGATGATTATTGTTTTACAGTGGAGAAGATTTGCTTTTTTACAGAAATGTCAGGCACTTGGGCATTTTTTCACTTGCCCTGTCTATCACATCTTTCTCTCTCTAGTGCACAACTCTCTCTTTCTCTCTGTCTATCTCTTTGTCTCTCTAACGCACTACGCCCACTCTCTATCTCTCTCTCCCTCTCTCTGTTGTACTACGCTTTCACTCTCTCCCTCTATCACAGTACTCTCTGTCTCTGTTGTACTATGCTCCCTCTCTCTGTATCGTAATACACACTGTCTCTCTTTCTCTCTTTCTCTCTCTCCCTCTTAAATCCAGCAGAAGCTTACACAGTTAACACAGGGTCCCTTCTAGTCTTAGATTTATGACTTGAAGTCTTGATAAACTCCTCATGTAACTCGACATGTAACAGGCTAATTCAGTAACATTCAGAATTAGATCTTAAGTTGCACTGATTACTGAAAGAATCAGGGTAAAACTATGATGTACGAAGTAAAAAATGATACCTGAATGTCAGATAAAAGCTTCAAATGTCTGTGTGTGGGCCAGAGCTGAGTAGTATTAAACCCATTAGCTCAATGCTAAATGAACATGGAAAAAGTCACTGGGTTGCTATCAGAAATTAGCATTATTGTAGTTGTAAATAAACAAACAGCGCAGACTTCCACAATAAACACTGTTATACAATCATCTATGTGTCTGACAGACATTTATGATTATATGAATAAAAAATTAAAGTTTGAGGAATTATTAGTAAATCCCATTCTTCATTGTATGTTGGAGTATTTCACAGCTCTCTATAAAGGATTCACTGCTCTTGAGGTTTTTAACCTCAGTCCTCACTGCAAATAGACCTGTGTGATAATTATACACACAGTAAGCTTGTGGAGCGGTTTGAGTTTTAGTGATGTTTTATTGCACATGTTGTGCATATATAACCACCTACAGAGCACTGCTATTTAAAGCTGCCTTAAACATGCCATTTAAAGCCTTTAATGTGGACGGCTTTTAATTTTCAAGGATTCGTTTTTTCTAACTTTGTTTGACTAAAGATGCACTTGCAGACCTCAGTTCTCTAAGTGTCTGCAGAGTGTTGTAGGAGATTGGTGGAGAACTGATAGAGAAGTTCTAGTCATTTAAAAGAACCTCATCAGGTGGCAAACATTCAACAAGACTGGAGAGCCAAGAAGGATTTTATTACACTTTTATTTTTATGTTTGAAAACATTTCTTTAACAATAATTATATTATTCTAATATGTTCTAATCTGTATTGTTCTAATAATGTATTTCCTGTATCTCTACACTCTATCTAAGCTGCTCATCCTTCTGGGTCATAGGGGGGAACGATGGAGCCTATGCCAGCGGGATATTAGGCAGAAGGCAGGAAACACCCTGGACAGGTCAGCGGTCCATAACAGGGCAGACACACAGACATATACACTCACACCTAGGGGCATGTTCGCTTGTCCAATTGGCCTGACTCCATGTCTTTGGACTGTGGGAGGAAACCCACGCAGACACAGGGAGAGCATACAAATGCCACAAAGAAAGGGCGCTGGTGGCCCAATTTCTGCTCTCTTCATCATGTATCGTTCTGTGTCTGCAGCATAATTGAACAGTTTATACCTTTGCTATGAATTCTGGGTAATGTAGATCCTGGCTATCTAGGGTCTTTCTTGAGGAAGAACCGTTCTTTAAAGAGAACTTTTGTTTTCTTAAACGTTGATTTAAATGTATTGGATCTATGTCATTGAGGATTGAGGGTTGTTTGACAACGAAGAACTGACGTGCGTGAGAGAACTTTATTACAGTCAGGGAAAATTACAAACAGGCCGTGGTAACCAGAATAAAGGCAAAATCCAGTAAAGCATAAAAACCAGGAGACAAGCAGAAGGTCAAAGATCACAAAAACACCAAGAACAATGAGTAACAAGGCTTAGAATTGCAAAGAAAGATCTGGAAAGACTTCACAAAGACCCTAACAAAATACAGGACATACAGAGAGAGTAATGATAAAACAAGCTTCAGGTGAGCAGCCAGCAATTACAACTCAGAAGAGAGTGACCTCTGCAGACGAGGAGAGGAATCTCCAGCCTAGAATGTGACACGTTGCAAATTGGCAAGAAATTACTTTGTACTGAGAGTGATAGTTTCATGTACCCCTGTGATGTCATCTATTGCTGAGTCTCTAATGTTGCCTTCTTACCTTTATATTCAGTACACCACTCGCTTCAGTGTATGTACAGTTCAGGTTAAACCACTTCCTGCTCAAATGTGTCTACTGCTGTTTTTAAGTCTGACCTGGTAGCAGCAGCAGCAGCAGCTGTAACTCAGCTTGCTGAACATTTGGTCATGAGAAGGTACCATGATACACAGCTCTATTTGAGCTTTTAGCTTGCAGCTGGCATACTCTACCTGAGAGCAGGTATTCACATAAGATTTACCTTCTTCTTCTAGTTCTTGTTCATTTAAATCAAAGAAACAACTGTTAACCCCCTAAACTGCAGCCTTATTTTTATAATAATATTCATACATTTTTCATTAACTACTATGAATCTATTACATAAGTTATGTAGTTATGAAAGTGAGAAACTATTGGCCCATATACAGGCCCTTACAGTTTATAGGTTAGTACACACAAAGAAAGAGAGAGAGAGAGAGAGAGAGAGAGTGAGAGAGAGAGAGAGATAACCGTGCTGTTGTTTCTCACCTTGATGGAGTAGATGAGGGCTATGAGGCCCAGGCAGCAGAAGTTGATGTACAAGGTGCTGCAGAGGGACCAGACCAGGTAGTCATTGGGGGGGCTTTTCCCCCGCAGCGTCCATATTAACCAAAGTGGAGACGGCTGGCTTGCGAGCAGACTTGCAGCTCATGAGACCTTAGTGGACCGGGAGCACTGATTTCACTGCAGCCCTGGAAACCCTGATTCCAGCTTTTATATGTGGAGAGAGAGAGAGAAAGAGAGAGAGAGAGAGAGAGAGAGAGAGAGAGAGAGAGGTCTGTTATTATATGGAGAACAGGGCAGGGTGCTGCTCCCCTGCACACTGAGCTGATTCTGCTACAGAATTTTATTCATCAGAAATATTAACTGTGCTGCAGCATCTCACCTTCATTCCTGATCTTTAAATAAAACATTTAGTCCAATCACAATTTAGTTCAACAATATAATTGGTTTAGTCAAACTACTGTTTTACATCAAAATGTGGACACTAAAAATCTAAATATTGCTTTTTTTTCTGAAGAGTCAGTCCTAACAAGTTCATTAACTTGAAATGCCAGTAAAAAAGGGCCAAAACATGATATTTGATCTTTTACCTTATAAACTTTATTGTTTTCTTGTATCATATATTGTCTTTTTAAATATGATGTCTACGACACATTCCTAAAAAGATGGAACAGAGCATGTTTAGCTCTATGTTACATCACCTTTACTTTTAACAACACTTAACTTGGGGAATGAAGACACCAACTGATTCCGTTTTGAAAGTGGAATTTTTCCCATTGTTCCCTTTTAAAAAAGATGGTTCTTCAAGGGTTCTTCAGTAAAGAGATTGGTTTATATATATAATTAATGCTAAAATTCCTTACAGTTGCTAGCTATTTTGTGATTCTGAACCTGTAACCCAATTTCACTAATTGAGATTATTATTGAGTTGATCTTTGATTAATTATTTTATTATTTTTCTAAAAATATCATAACATTAGTAAATCCATATGTTCCCTTGAATCATGCTTAAACCTCATATAGTTTTTATTTTGAGTTATCATGTTTTCTTTCCCTTAGAAGCACAACTGTGTAAGTCTGTAACTTTGGATGACTATATTCATGGAAAATGCCATACTTCAAGCATAATAGAGGTTCTGCCATAAATATCTACAGAAATATCAATAGCAACTAGATAATGTACTGAGCATATCCTTTACTCTATACTATGTAACTTCTTTCCAGTTAAGCATTGTTTGTGTGATTAACTTTGTAATTATGTTCTTTTCCTAAGAAATGTCATCTCCTCTTTCTAGTAATCATGTTTCTTTCAGATGTAAGATTGTGAGAGGTTTCAAGTAGCTTTATGTAACCATAGTGTGAAATTAGAATACTTTTCTAGTAATAAGTGACCCTTTATTAAAGATATCACTTGCTTGATTGTGTGTATAATTATCACAGTCTGATCGATTGATCACTGTCCAGGAAAACCCTAACCTGAGATGAACCTAAAGTAGGTTGTGTTTATGGAGTTAGGGGGAAATTGACCACTGAGTGGCCTTCTCCCACTACAGTTTGTGTGTATGTTTTTTTCAACATATTATTTCTATTACTGTTTATTTTTTGTTGTTTTTGTATTTAACTCATATTTTATACTCTCTTTTGTATATTTACATAAATGTGTATGCTAATGGCACCTTTTGGAGATGCAACACAATTTCATTGTTCACTAACAATGAAAAGAAATGACTTGACTAATATCAACATGAAGCCCCTCAGTATGAGAGGCCATTTAGGCCAAAATTCTAACTTACCTCTCACACCCACTTTTAAACCTCTCACACTCACTATCAAACTCGCTCGCACTCACTATCAAACTCTCTCACACTCACTATCAAACTCTCACACTCACTATCAAACTCGCTCGCACTCACTCTCAAACCCTCTCACACTCACTATCAAACTCTCTCACACTCACTATCAAACTCTCACACTCACTATCAAACTCGCTCGCACTCACTATCAAACCCTCTCACACTCACTATCAAACTCGCTCGCACTCACTATCAAACCCTCTCACACTCACTATCAAACTCGCTCACACTCACTATCAAACTCTCTCACACACACTATCAAACTCGCTCGCACTCACTATCAAACTCTCTCACACTATCAAACTTGCTCACACTCACTATCAAACTCTCTCACACTATCAAACTCGCTCGCACTCACTATCAAACTCTCTCACACTCACTACCAAACTCTCTCACACTCACTATCAAACTCTCACACTCACTATCAAACTCTCTCACACTCGCTATCAAACCTCTCACACTCACTATCAAACTCTCTCACACTCGCTATCAAACCTCTCACACTTGCTATCAAACTCGCTCACACTCACTATCAAACTCGCTCACACTCACTATCAAACTCTCTCACACTATCAAACTCGCTCACACTCACTATCAAACTCTCTCACACTATCAAACTCGCTCGCACTCACTATCAAACTCTCTCACACTCACTACCAAACTCTCACACTCACTATCAAACTCGCTCACACTCACTATCAAACTCTCTCACACTATCAAACTCGCTCGCACTCACTATCAAACTCTCTCACACTCACTACCAAACTCTCACACTCACTATCAAACTCTCACACTCACTATCAAACTCGCTCGCACTCACTATCAAACTCTCACACTCACTATCAAACTCGCTCGCACTCACTATCAAACCCTCTCACACTCACTATCAAACTCGCTCACACTCACTATCAAACTCTCTCACACACACTATCAAACTCGCTCACACTCACTATCAAACTCTCTCACACTTTCAAACTCGCTCACACTCACTATCAAACTCTCTCACACTATCAAACTCGCTCGCACTCACTATCAAACTCTCTCACACTCACTACCAAACTCTCTCACACTCACTATCAAACTCTCACACTCACTATCAAACTCTCTCACACTCGCTATCAAACCTCTCACACTCACTATCAAACTCTCTCACACTCGCTATCAAACCTCTCACACTTGCTATCAAACTCGCTCACACTCACTATCAAACTCTCTCACACTCACTATCAAACCCTCTCACACTCACTATCAAACTCGCTCACACTCACTATCAAACTCTCTCACACTATCAAACTCGCTCACACTCACTATCAAACTCTCTCACACTATCAAACTCGCTCGCACTCACTATCAAACTCTCTCACACTCACTACCAAACTCTCACACTCACTATCAAACTCTCACACTCACTATCAAACTCGCTCACACTCACTATCAAACTCTCTCACACTCGCTATCAAACCTCTCACACTCACTATCAAACTCTCTCACACTCGCTATCAAACCTCTCACACTTGCTATCAAACTCGCTCACACTCACTATCAAACTCTCTCACACTCACTATCATACTCTCTCACACTCGCTATCAAACCTCTCACACTCACTATCAAACTTGCTCGCACTCACTATCAAACTCTCTCACACTCACTATCAAACTCGCTCACACTCACTATCATACTCTCTCACACTCGCTATCAAACTGTAAGGCATTCTTGATAGTGAGTGTGAGAGAGCTTGATAGAGTGTATGAGAGAACTTGATGGTCACGGTTTCTGATTGGCCTAGAGAGTTATCATTTAAATTAGCAGTTTCTGATTCGCTCATAGTCAAATATTTTTATTTCAAATATTTTATTTATCCAAATGTAAAAAGTTCTATCACTTTAACGTGAAATAAACGTGTAGAGGGCACGTGTGGTCACAGAAGCTCAAAAATCAGGCGATCGTGGTCAAAAATTGATAAAGACAGAAAAGATCGAGTGTTGAGAGGATAGCCTAGTCCGGCATTTGGGGAGGCAACATTACGTTTAATAGGTGTTTGTATATTTAGTGCAGCTATTCTATCAGCAAAAAACTGAAAATGATGTGGGGAAGAGACTCTACAGGACTCCCGCCACCTAACAGCGAAATCAAAGAGGAATGGACGTCACTCCGCCCAGTAATGATGAGATAAGTTAATTGTAATGTCGCGTCGTCAGATGTGAACTTCGTCATAGTGACTGTGTTACAGCTCCAGACCTAACAATTAAAGCTGTGAGCTGTGCGCTGTCCTGTGTTCATATTGTTCATATAATACTGTGGCGGCTCCGCTTTTGTGAAGGTGCTTTAGAGGCGCGTCATGCAGAGCTACTATTATTATTAATATTATTATTAAGCTTAAATGATAACAGCAAAGGCCTTGTGTGGTTGCACAGCTGATGACTTGTATAACTGTGATTATTATTGTATAAATTTATGGTAAACATTTTCCTGTCCCAACTTTTTTGTAGCATGTTGCAGGCATCATATTTTGAAAGAGCAACTATTTACAAAAACCAATAAATTTCATAAGGTAAAACATCAAATATTGTGTTGTTGTACTGTTTTAAATTTAACACAGGCCAAACAGAATTTACTAATCACTGCTTTCTGTTTTTATTTGGATTTCACAAACTGTCCCAACTTTTTGGGAATTTGGATTTGAAGTTTTTTTTCCATCTTTGACCCAGAATTAAGAAACATCTGTTTTGACAGTACAGCACAGTTACGATCAGGAATCAAAGGAAATGTCTAGTTAATGCTGAAAATAATGATCAGATCACAGTTATGGAATATACTGCACATTAAAGCATTATTCAGTATTTCATTCAACTGCAAGAGCAGGATGGCTGCACTGAAGTGACAGACAGAATTAGACAAAGATACGGCATGACCCAGTTTCATAGCTTTAGAGGGCTCCTCATTTTGACTCTTTAACCACTTAGACAAAAAGGAGTTGCTAACCAATTTACAGTTTATGAGAAATTTGGCAGCAAGTTTTTTTTGTTTGCTTTCTGTACTAAATGTGCATTTATTTCATTCTTCTGAAATATGTGGGTGAGAGAGAACATTGGCTTGTGAAAGTGAGTGTAAGAGAGAGCAGACAAGTTCATGAGTATGACTGCCTGTGAGGTCAGTTTTTCCTCAGCTTTAAATCCCCAGTGGAGCAGCACTTTAGGTTGTGAGTGTGCTCATACAGTTCTCATGAGAGAGCAGCGAAGAGTGAATGTGTATCAAAATGTCTTTACTGAGGCTTTAAAATACAGCCAGAGAGGTATAACACAAAGCAGCACAGCCTCTACTACAGGAGTGACTCCTGACCTCTCTTTCTGTTAG